AAATAGGGTTAAGTGATTTGCCTAGGGTCACACAGCTAATAAGTGTCTGAGATAGAATTTGAACTCAGGAAGAGGAGTCTTCCCGACTCTAGGCCCAGCGCTCTGTGCACTGCAGCACCCTTGAGAGATCTAGTGCCATGACCCAGGTCACCCGGGTCTAGTTAGAGCCTTTCTCTGAGATTTTCTCACTGGCACAGCCTGTTTGTACACAATTGTTTGCTGTCTCTCCCACTGGGATGAGCTCCTTGAGGGCAGGAATTTCTTTTGCCTTTCTTTGTATCTCCAGCACTCATGTGCCTGAAACATAGTGAGCCCTTCAGAAACCATTTTAGTTATTATTATTACATTTCAACTGTAATGCAGACCTTGAAATGGGGTCTTTATTCACAAGTCTTATGGTTCCTGAGGCTACAAATGTGTGTAGCCTGACTGACTAAATGGAACAGCTAAGATTTGAACTCGCGTCATGTGGTTTGATTCCAAAACCCAGCCCTCTTTACTTGGATTATGGTTTTCCCCCCTCAGGTCCTTTTTAGGACATCTATAAAAGTACACTTGGTTGACTTGATGCCTTTGGAAGATGCTTCTCCAAGTAAGAGGAGACTTGTCTCTCTCCTGCCCCCAGAATTTCCTTTAATTCAGGACCTAGCCAAAGAAAAATTCTTTTATACAGACCTAACACACATCCGGATTGTCACACAAGGTCCGCTGCTAAAGCAAGACAGTCATTGTTGGACTGGATCATGCTGATTACATAATCAGAAAACCAAGAATCCTGAGTTTAATTCAGGACTGAAGTCTAGACGAGGCCTCATGAGGCCCGAAGGACAGTAAAAGACGGCGGCCCAAACAAGTGGCTTCTAGAGGATGCAGCGCTGTGGAAAATACTGGATTGAGGGTCAGAAACCAGCCCTGGGCAATCACTAGCTTGGAGTGATATTGCTTCTCTGAACCTCAGTTTCCTCATCTGTAAAACGTGCAGTTAGACCTACCTGACCCCTAAGGTCTTTTCTAATCCTAATGTTGTATGAGTAATGGAAACTGCACAAAGACTTGAAGAAAAAGTCCAAGATGGTGGCGGAAACCAGCTCTTCCAAGGGAAATCCTTCCATTCTGTGGGCAGCCTCTCCTCCCATACAGGCAGGCGTCTTGGCCTGCTTTTAAAAAGGGCCACTGACACAGGTTTTGGCCATGAGTTGGAGTGAAGCATTTCTACACAAAATGCTTCCAAGTCAGATTAACCATGATGATTCCAGCTAAATTACCCCGGGATTTGGAGTCAGGGGACACGGGTAGGAACTCCTAAAATGTGGGTCTAATCCCAACCCCCTCTACTTAATAAACTCAGGTGGCTTCCTTTGGCCTCCAGAAGCAAATGCAAAATACTCTGTTTGGCATTCAAAGCCCTTCCTACCTTTCCAGCCTTCTTATACCTCACTCCCCACTACGTATCTCTGATCCAGTGACACTGGCTTCCTGGCTATTCCACGGACAAGACCCTCCATCTCTCAGCTCCTGGTATTTTCTCTGGTTGTCTCTCCTGACTGGAACGCTCCCCATCCTTTGCTCTTACCACCAACCCCCCTGGCTTTCTTTGAGTCCCAACTAAAATCCTGCCTGCTACAGGAAGACCTCCCACATTCCTCTTAGTATCAGTGTTTTCCAACTGTTAATTTTCTCCAATTTATCCTGTGGAGCTTGTTTGTACATATTTGTTTGCCTTTTGTCTCCCTGGTTCAATTGTAAGCTCATGGAGGACAGGGTCCATCTTTAGCTTCTTTTTGTATCTCTGGCACTTAGCACAGTGCCTGGCATGTAGTACGTACCTAATAAATATTGATTGATTCCTACAGTTAAGTGACTTGCCTAGGGTCACACAACTAGTAAGTGTCTGATGCTGGATTTGAATTCAGATCTTCTTGACTCCAGGCCCGGCACTCTATCCACTGCACCACTCAGCTTTGCTGCTTCCTAACTGTATGATCATGAGAAAATCATTCAACTTCTTTTCTGAGCCTCAGTTTTCTCATCTACAAAATGGATCTCATTAACACTTACACTATCACTGGATTATCATTAGGAAAGTCCTCTGTAAATCATTAGCTGTGACAGAACGGGAGTTATGTGAGCTCCATGAGAGCAAAAGTAGTTTCATTTTTTATTTCTGTATCTCCAGTGCCTGTCATAGAGCAGACATTTAGTAAATGCTTGTTGACTGATGGGTTCCACCATGGAATAAGTGGATAGTCTGGCACATCTGAAGGCAGGAGAGACGTGTTTTCAAATCCTGACTCTGTCTCGAATGTGTGACCATGGGTGAGTCACTTCATTTCTAAGTTGCAATGTGGGGATAATGATAACATCTAGTGCAATGAGGATTAAATGAGAAAATGCATGTAAAATTACTATGCCAGCTTGGAGCGCTATACATAAATCTGAATTATTATGATTACATTCCAGCTGTTACTACTTCCTAAGCAGGCAGCCCTTGAAATAGAGACTGGGTCTTTAAATCTCATGGTTCCTGAGACTAGAAACTTGGCCCCAATGTGTTAACACAAAATCTTTACATGAGGAAATAAGCCCGTATTCAAAATCCAAGCAAGTCTATCAGAATCTAAGGTGACCTGACTGCCAGCACAGGCTGGTAAACTGACATGCTTCTGAGAGACAGCACTGGGGGGGCACTTCTACAAGCAGAACTTTGTACCTCTTCACCCTCCCCCCTCCCCCGCACCCACTTGTCACTTTCCTAGGCACAGGGGGAAAGGGTTGGCTTGCTGGGAATGAGACATGGGAGAGAGCCACTAATTTTTATGGTTTTACAAGACTCTCGGGCAGCATATTTCAGTAGTGACTGTAAATGACATTAGAGGGAGTACCTGCTGGGCTCAGGTACAGAACACGCTGCCTTCCTACTATGACGTCACACCAAAGGTATCGGGGCGGGCTGCCAAAACACGAAATTGGCAGTGCCAGGCTCGCCGAGTGCTTATGTCCTGAAACTGCCTGGCCCCATTCAGTCGTATCTTGTCAGAGCCTGCAAACCACATCACAGGGAACCAACCTGCTTTAATTGACGACTCTCAATAACCTTATGCTCATTCGTTTATGAACCCCACTTGATGCCCTAAGAAAGTGTTACAATTGAGCTGCATGGAGGTAAAGACAAAAGTATCCAACTCACTGAGAAATACCTTTGTCAATTTTGTCATCAATCATAATACAAGAAGACACGATTTGTTCTTAACAAGGAATAAAACAGATCCCCTATTTCCACTCAGCCCCTTTGAGAAAGTCACAGTATGCTTAGGATTGATAACCACAAAGGACCAGCCATCTGACCTCAGCATGTCAGTATGACACTGTAGAAAAACACATGGATCATGGATTCAGGACAGGGATTCCAATCCTGGCTCTTCCATCCACCACCCATAGGATTTGGGGCGAGGCATTTCCTCTCTCTTGACCTTAGTATATTCATTTGTTAAAATGAGAGGATTGGGCTAGATGATCTCTTGAGATCCCTAGATATGCCTCTGTCCCTATGGCCCCCTCTGATTGGTGAGTTTCTGTCTGAGACCATCAACTCAGGAAGGGTCTAAGACATTCATGTTCACTTTTCTCCTGGCTTTACTCCTGACTTTCTAGACTTTTCTACTTTATTTCTCTTTCTTACCCCCACTTTCCCTTTTATGTGTTATCTTCTCCCATTAGAGTGTAAACTCCTTGAGGGCAGGTACTGATTTTTTTTTGTTGTTGTATTTGGATTCTCAGTACTTAGCAGAATTCCTGGTATGTAATAAATCTCTTTCTCTCTGTGTCTCTGTCTCTGTCTCTGTCTCTCTTGTCTCTCTCTCTCTCCACCGACCTATACATCTATTCGCTAACAAATTCCTTTGGGCTTTCCAGTGAGACAGTCATGCCAGATTGAGTCAACATTGATTATTTGGGTTGTGAAGGAAGCACTTTATAAACCCTAAAATGCTATATAATCATGGGCTACGATGAGAAATTCTGGGAGGGAAGGGTCATTCATGGGGATGGGTCACAGGGGCTAAGCTCCTATTTCCCTACATCAGAGCCCGCCCAGGTTCCCACTGGAAGCTTCAGGGCTTCAGAATTTGGCTCTAGAAATACAGTTTGCTGAAATCTGGTCTTTGATTCTAGTCTTACAGAGTTGATTAGGATGACTGGTTTTGTTTTTAAGGGGGAAAAGCATAACTATCTTTGGCATAAAACGTCACCCAATCCAAATACCTGGAACAAATACTTGGTAAACTGAGCTACAGTCAGCAAAACTTGAGGAGGTAAGTCTACAAATACAAACTGACCCCTTTACCCTTTACGTCAAGTAAGAATAAAACATTGCAAATGGCTCTTTTCAAGGTTCTATGGAATTTCTGCCCAAGCAAGCTCCCAGAGACCTAAATGGGGATACTGGCTTTTATTGCATGTTCCTTTCTCCTAGTCAGACCCTTAATATGACTCTAGTGTAATCTGGGGGTGACCTGGGGGGAAACACAATTACAATGACTATATTTAGATAACTTCTAATTTCATCCTCTGTTAATCTCTGAAAGATATTTAAGAGTGTAGGGGGAAATGGGGGGGGGGAAGAATGGCTCAGCTGGTTTATTTTTGATATGGCAAGAGTAAACCATGTCACTGTGTCCCCAACTGTGAAATCTCAGCCTTGATGACGTGGCTGCTAATCACAGCCCCTTTACCCAGCAGCCAAAGCTGGGGGTGGGAAGTCTTTCTGTTGACTAATCAGAATGTCAAGTTTCTCTCTCTCTCTCTCTCTCTCTCTCTTCCCCACCCTCCAACCCCTCCCATCCCCCCCTCCACCCCCTCCCCCAGCAACAGGCTTCAAAGGCTTAGGATGCCAAAAGTCAGATTCTGAATGGAAAACTGCATCAAGAAACAAGACAGAAAGATTTTTAAAAAGAGAAACAGAAAGATTAGTAAAATGAATAGCTCTGAATGAGTGACTGTACCTTGGCAATGCTTTTGCCATCTGAATTACTGCTGGAATCTTTAACGCCATTTACCGAATCTCTTCTCTGAGGGCACGGTTTCTTTTTGCGTGGCCTTCCCTTAAGATTTGGCGCTGAAAACAAATGGAGAACAATTTATAGTCATTTTCATTTACAAGGGTTTCTTTTCTTAAACAACCAAGCCAGGCTCAAAATCAATCCTCTGTAATTGTTCATACACATCTGTAGCCAGCCATCTCTCATTAGGAGTCACTCACTCTGATGGGCTGCATTGGTGGAGACTATAAGCCACCGTACCCCATTTCCCAAGACTAATCTGTTATACTTTAACATCTCTAATTAATATCAAAGCAAGCCCTTTGTGTCTACAGGACGCTGACAGAAAGAGAATGCAGTTCCCCACAGATGGAAAAGATATCTCTGCAGAAACAGCCAGGCTTGGAAATCATCTCTGAACCGGGCTGTAACACACTCTGCTCTGGATCTCACAAACTTAAGTGACAGCCTTATTTGTGAGGTCATGGCAGCTTGAGACTTTCAAAACATCTGCCTTAGAAAGTTTCTCAAAGTAGCCATAGTTTCTCAAGGAGCAAAGTAAATAAATATGTATAAAACTAATTATATATAATAGATAAAACTATAGATATATAAACCTATATAAATATACACATGTGTGTGCACACGTACACATATATACATATATACAAACACATAGTTACATATATACAACTACACACACACATATATATACACAATATACTTATACAATATATACACATATATATACATCACCCTTATACATAGGCATATACACACACACATATATACACAAATATACATATACACACACACATATT